CATGTCACCAGTCTTTGCAAACATGCACTGACTCCATTCTTCAGTATTTGGCTCTGTATATATTTGCTTACATAGAGGACAACAGTATTCTACTGTTGTAGAGGTTGAGGCCACAGAAAACTTCCTCTTTAAGACGATGATGTCTATTTCAAATACAATACTCACTAATACCAATGGCACTTGCAGCAGCTCTTTTGCTCATGCTCAATGACTGCTTTGATTTTAGAGATTTGTTCTTCAGTGACCGATGCAAGTTCAGGTCTTTTTCTTATATAATTTCACGGCATAGTGATGAGAAACTGAAAATAACACCGAAGGGGCAAGTGTACGCATGCGCACACTTACCCGCGCACACTTTCCCCAGAATACCAAATTACAATTGAAAGCTCATAAAATAAATTAAAAACAAATATAACATGACTTTTTGTATAATATTTAGCGTAAACATATTATTATTCAAAGAAAATACAATTTACCGCTGTAAAATCGATAACGCCGATGATACATTATTTTCCATTAAGCAAAAAAAATTAGAATTTAAACACCATATACAGTTTTTTTATGAAAAAAAAAGTTATTCATCAACCGCCGCCACAGAGACAAGTCGCGACTAGTAGAGCACTCTAGCGTCACTTTTCGTCTTAAACAAAAACCTCCCCCCCGTTCCCCGTTCGGGAGATACACTCACTGCGCTCACTTACCCACTGCGCTCAGTTACCGCGAATAACTCTACGTGTGTAAGATCCAGCGTCTACGTACGTAATGATGAACATTGTTTATACTTTACCTTTGTTAAGATAAATTGTGAGAGTAAATAAATCTATTATTATTATGATTATTATTTGACGCTGGTAATGTGTCAAAGCATACTTCCCAGATCGAGCCGATCCATTCGTGATACAAATATAATATAGCTGCAGATTATCTCTACCACTCTACATACGTGTAAAGTTTCTCAAATGGCACTCTCGTTAAAGTTAACCAAGTGTAGGACGGCTTCCTACTAGTTGAAATGACGACATGATCAGAGATGCAGTGAGTAAGTTGCAGGTGACTCAAGACTTTGTAGCGTTTCTTGGGAATTGTTGAATGTAGTTGACTAATTTAGTAGAGTATACGAAGCCTACGAGTAAGAATTTTTTATACGTGGTATAGCCATGGTGCAGCTATAATAATAGTATAGATGTAGCACGAATGGGTCGGCTCGACCGGGGAAGGACCACGTTCTCACAGAATACCAGCGTAAAATAGCAGCTCAATTCTGCTATGTAGCTTAATGTTGTATGGTGAGTGTAGAGAACCGGAGACCCTTTTTCATTTATATTAGTGCTCACTGCTGACAACGCATCTGCATTTTAATTCGCAAACAAAGATAGATATATATGTCTATGAGCCACACCAACCATTTACCATCAGGTGGACTTTGCGCCCATTTGACACCCTTATTCTATAAAAAAAAGACTTCAGTGGATAGAGATCTTTTATCCGAATGTACAACGTAGCATCATGAAATTAGTGGGCTTTCCGATGTATTAAAGTATCTAACGTTCGTCGGTTAACGCCGCAGTGGACGTGGGTCGTTTGCCTTAGAAATGTCCTGCTGCTTGGGCACTAAGAAAATAAATATAAAGGGCTGGGTTTTGTTATATACTCCAAACACTCATTATTAACTGACGTAATTCTTCAAGCAACTTGACGTTTCTTTAATACTTTAAGTGAGAAGTTGTGTGTATATACAATCGGATGTAAATTTGTATTAGAACATTTTACTTTCCAGGTAAGAAAATAATGGGATGTTTGAACACAATAAAAAAATTAAGATTGGTGTCGTGCTTTTTATTATTTAAATAATTTTTCCTCTAAATTCTGGTTTTTCAATCATCAAACGAGTTATTCATAAGTTTTTTTTTATAGAATAGGGTGACAAACGAGCACACGGTCCACCTGATGGTAAATGGTTGCTGAGTCCCATAGACATCTACATTTATCCTCGTTTGTGAATCAAAATGCAAATGCGTTGTCACCCGTGAGGACTAAGTTGGATGCCTCTTTTCCAGAAAAAAGGGTCTCCATTTCTCCACACTAACCATACGAAACACGGTAGTGTTAGGCTGCTATTTTACGCTGGTATTCTGTGAGAGCGTGGTACTTTCCCGGTCGAGCTGACACATTCGTGCTTTTTTTGCGCACAGATGAAACGGAAAAGGCTACCCTCCGGGAAACGAGGAAGGGAAATGGTGAGTGCTCTAAGCATATCATGACAGACAGCTGCCTTTGTTATGTGGGACTCACTGCGAAAATCTAAGTGCCTACCTACTAAACACCACCATTTGACCTGGCGGGGAGAAAATTTGGCCTGAGCCGCCAGGAGGCGGTATAGGTCGGCCGAAATCTTATTTGCGAGGCCACAACTATACTATTAATATAGCTTCGGCATGGCTCTACTACTTAAAAAATCAAAGTCGAATTACATCATACCGTTACAGTCTATTAAAATCCACCGCTGAACGTAGGTCTACCCCATAGATTGCCTCATAAATATTACTCAGCGATTTTGTCATTGTTGTCACGCTAGGCAAGCGGGTCGGTTTGTTACGCTCTGTCCTCTCTTACGACAACCACGGGATGAAGTGGGTGAGTGGATATTATTACACCGCCACTGAACAGTAAAAATACAAAATAAACAAATTAAAAACTACAGATGTATGAATAAAAGTAGTTCAATTGATTCAATTTTTATTCAATTACATTAAAAATTGATTTTGTAATTTTTATGATGATAGAAATATGTCCATAGTATTTTGTCAAATTTGTCCGTTTATTTTACCTAAATATGAACCTTTAAATTTCAGAGCACAATATAACTTATCTAGAAGACATTTTTCAATTTAATTCTTCCTTTTGACAAGTAAATTGGCCTGCCACAAACAAACGCAAAAACTCATGCATATTTTGTGATACACTGCCGCTATGAATGTATTAAAAGCATGCAGTGTCATAGCGGAAAATGCATTGAAATTTAAACGAAGGAAATAGACTATACCACATGATTTCGAAATATTATTCTAGCAGTTATTTCCGAATTCAAAACATAACCAATTTCTAAGCTTTTATGTGGTTAATCCTAGAATACTATTCAGAGTCATTTTAACTCGCACCGCACCCATTTCTTGCTTTCTTTCTCTAAAGAATGCGCGGATTATCACGATTATTTGTGTGAGCTAAGTTGCCGGTTAGATGTTTGAGAGAGCGACAGCATTATGCAGGTAAGTGTAGCTATTTTGTAAATACGACATACTTCAGAGTCGAAATTACTCATGATTGGTTTTTGTGTAACTTTTTGAAGTTAAGCATATATACGCTTTTAGATTAAAAATGTCTTCTTCACGTCCAAGCGGTGGTCGAAACTTCACGGACACAGAATTTACCAGATATATAAACGACGATGGTGTTACCATTAATAGCGATGGTGAACCTGAGGGTAGTGAAACTAAGGACTACTTGAAGGTTGAGTATTATGAACAAACTGATGAAGACGTTGAGCCAATGGAGATAATATCTACCAGTTTACCAAAACAGAATCTCCAGTTACTGTAGAAAAATTCACGAGTAATCAGAATACAGACATTTCACGTGGACACTATTGTCATACAACCCAATCTTTACAAGGTTGTTCATTTATTATCAAAGTTTTCTGAAGAAGGAACTGTAAAAGAAAGAACAAAGAAGCCAAATATGGTAGAATTTTATAATTGGACAGAGATTGACACTCTAGACCTGAAATGTATACAGATATGAGCTGTAACCGAAACACTAATATATGTGTTGTGTGTCTACAAATATAGGGAATAGCAGCAGCCAACAAGAATATGAACCTGATGCAAAAAGAAAACGGTGTTCTCTTTGGTCATACAAAAACAGATGCCTGAAGTGTTAGAAAAATATATGCGGGAACATAAGATAGAAATATGTGTCACTGTGCCAAATTAGAATAATTTCTCATTTTATCGTTGACTAGTTCTTATTTTGTTATAATTAAGTTTAAGAGAACATGAAACATTGAACTTTGACCGACAGTTCTTAAGTTGAGCAGTGTGTCACTTGTTTTGGGTTCGATTAACGCTGATTTAGTTAAATTTGATGTACAATAAAGTTGATAAACTAATATAGTGAATATAAAGGCAGAAGTTTTCCATTGGTGAATGCCCACTGAAGAGATCACACATTTGGAGAAAAGCAGCGCCTCTGGATCTGCTGTCTGACTACATCGGTTAAGTCAGGTGACATGTATATACACTTTCACACACTACTTACATACACCTCACTTACCACCTGACTGGTACCCTGTGGTAAACCCCACCTTCGGAACTCGGTAAGTTTTTGTTTGCTTAGCAGCCATTAATAATAATCCATTGGCCATTGGGCCCGAACCCTCGGTTGCCCGTCGAAGGTTAACACCTTAGACTTGAGTAACCTCATAGGCCCTATTACAGTTGACTTCTGTCTGGGCAACTGGGGGCTGTAACATTTTCTGGCAGCAGATCATGGTTGATTGGTTCTCCAATCAAATAATATAAATAAACTTTTGTTTGCTTCTTTTGTTTGATAGCGGATAGGTGGTTAGAACCACGCCGTTATCCTGTGCAAGCAGGAGTTTAGTTAGCGTTAGGTACCTACGCGTCAGGTATACGGTATTTTATACACACGATAAATACCGTGTTTTCATCTTCTCAGACGTTTGCTGGCCCGTCTGTCTGACGTGCTCATAAATGTCATTCATTTTGTTCCGCAAGTCATTTGCATAATGGGTTATACTGGGTGGGGCATCAGGTGGTATTCCGGTGATCAGGTCTGCAGGCAGCCGTAATTCTCTCCTAAAGTTTGGGAAAGCTGATGTCACTGATGTACTTTCGTAAACAGCGTGTGGCTCTTCCAGTCTCGTTGCCGTTTTTCCACAACTTTTGCTAGGTACCTCTCCAATGTCTGATTAAATCTTTCTACTATTCAGATTGTGGGTGGTAAGAAGTTGTCCGTGTTTTATCAGTACCCATAACTCGGCAAGTTTCCTGGAATATTTGAGACTCAAAATTCCTTCCTCTATCGCTGTGAATCTCTAAAGGTACTCCTAAACGACAGAAGACTTCATGAACTAGTTTATCTACAACTGTTGAACATTTATGATTTGGAATGGCGAAGACTTCCGGCCACTTAGTGAAGTAATCCATCACAACCATGAAATATTTGTTACCACTTTCACTTTCCGGAAACGGCCCCGCAATGTCAATGGCTATCCTCTCCCATGGTGCACCAACATTGTTCAATTTCAATACGCCTCTACTACGATTTTGATGTCCCTTTACAGCCGCATAACTTGTACACAAAGCACAAACAGTCCTGGACATCGTACACACAGTAGAAACAGTCTTCGACATCATCACGATAGTGGACCCAGTAAAACCGTTTTCGGATCTTCAGTAGAGTTCGTTTAACTCCCAGGTGGCCTTCTGAACAACCACTATGGTAAATCTGTAGAACATCCGGTACTTTAGCCTTAGGGACAACCATTTGCAAATGACAATTGTCTCTTCGACCATTTTCCCATTTACGGCACAGGACTGAATCAGCAAGCTATCCCATTGGGCCCAATAGCTTTTCGTGGTCGAACTCATCACTGAGACGTCGCTCCACTTGCGCTTAGGAACACTGACCTTCATCTACTCCAGAATCGGCTTAATGTTCGAATCATCCTGCTGTGCATGTTGTAGGCTGTCCTTCCACTCATTGCTGAGCTGGTCTGTCCTGAGTATCCTCACAGATACTACTTCCTTACCCTCTTGCCTAATACAATGCTTGCAATCTTCAGGGCAAGGTCTTCTTGATAATGCATCTGCATTGCCATGAGATTTCCCGCTTCGATGTTCGATCACAAAGTTGTATTCCGGCAGTAGTGCAATCCATCTCGCAACTTGTCCTTCTGGATTTTTGAACTGCAATAGCCATTTCAGTGCAGCATGGTCATTTCGTAAGTGTAATTTCTGCCCCAGAAGATATTTGCTAAAATGCTGCAAGGACTTTACCACAGCAAGCAATTTCCGTCTGTCTTGTGACACAATAGTTCCTTTCCGGCTTTGACAACGACTTGCTGAAGTACGCTATCACAACCTCTTGATCACCACTGCGTTGAGACAACAAACCGCCAAGTCCTATATCACTTGCGTCTGTGTCAACTATAAATTCCTTGCCCGCATCAGGATACCCCAAAATAGGTGTTCTGCACAGATGGTTCTTGAGCTCCTGGAATGCAATTTCGCAACTTTCATCCCAGCAGAAATGTCGCTTCTCCTCCGTTAGCTTGTGCAGAGGTTTGGCTAAATCTGCAAAGTTATTCACAAATCGTCGATAATAAGAGCACAAACCCAAAAATGCTCTAACCTGTGTCTTTTCTTTTGGAACCAGCCAATCCTTGACAGCGGCAATTTTCTCTGGATCCGTGCGGATACCTTCTTCCGACACTACATATCCCAAAAAGCTAACTTTCCGTTTGAATAGTTAGCATTTCTTCGGACTCAACTTGAGGTTGGCACTCTGGATCTTCATGAGCACGCATTTCAGTTTTTGTAGGTGTTCCTCAAACGTACGGCCTACGATGATGATGTCATCCAAGTAGACCAGACAGGCATCTCCAATTAGCCCGGTAAGTACAAGCTCCATCAACCTTTCAAACGTTGTTGGAGCATTGCACAATCGAAACGGCATGACTTTAAATTGCCACAGACCCATTCCTGTGGAGAATGCAGTTTTCTCCTGGTCCTTAGGGACAATTTCAACCTGCCAGTAGCCACTTTTCAGATCCAGAGTACTAAACCACTTTACGCCTGTGAACATCTCCAGCGTGTCATCAATTCTTGGCAAGGGATAGCTGTCCTTCTTAGTAATGTCGTTCAGACGGCAGAAGTCAACACAAAACCGCATGTCGTCCTTCTTCTTTACTTACTTTTTTGTGTTTATTTTTTGTTGAGCTAAACCAGTCTTTCCTATGTCAGCTTCGTTTGGCGAGAAAATATCGGCGTACTTGAGTAACAACTTCTTCGCCTTGACCATTTCATTCGGGTAGAGAACGCTGCGACAGTCTTCTAAAGTGTGGTCACTCTCGTTTGTCCATCCTTGCTGGGGGTCGCAGTCGATAGATATTGGCACTGACGCAACCAATCCACTTCCTCACTAGTACCAACCAACGTGCCTTTTTCTGTAATCTATTCCTGATTACAAAGGTACAGCACACGCGTTCCTGGGATGTCGGCGGTTCTGAACAAGGTTTGAGCCACTTTTCATGGAAGTTCATTGTCTACCCTTTCCACGAGTACACAAAGAAGAGTTTGCCCAGGATTCCGAGGAAGTCTAACCGGCACAATCGTTTCCGATCTCGGCGGAAGAACAATCTTCTTAAGGCTGTACATATTCCCTGGTAACGCCCGTTCCACGAAATTCTTCTCACAATCTTCTCACAACTATTCTTCCTCATTAAGTCTAGGCCCAGGATGCAGTCGTCCATTATATCAGCCACGATGACATTATGCAGGTAGATCATGTTGACTAGCTTCAACTCCCATCTCCTTCTCTCCACGGACGGGTATGCGCTGACCGGTGGCTGTCATCAAATTAATGCGTTCTCGATTGTATGCGGAGTCCCCAAGGACTTATAAGAACGACTTATAAGGACTTATAAGACTTGGGAACTGACAACCGTGCGAGAGGCTCCAGTGTCTATGGTCAGTTTACACGGCGTTTCGTTGACCTCGCCCTTGATGATTAGGCTGTTCCCATCATGGGTTTGTAAGATCGAAATCCTTGTAGCTCTTTTAACATCAGCCAGCACCCGCCCCGCAGTTCTGGCTTTTACTCGTTTCCCTGCTGCTGCTGGGCGGTGCTATTAGCCGCACTATCCTCTCGAGATCGATCATCTTCCCTTTCTACAGTTCGCTTAGGGCAGCTGGATCTTATATGGCCCCTTTTCCCACAGCCGTAGCACCTAGGGCTGTAGCCATTATTGCGGTCCTGAACTGTAGCTGCTGCGACCTCCCTGACGCGATGGGAACGATAATTCTGTCGCATGGCTTCCACCTCCAGTGCATGGGCCAACGCGTCCTTAAGCATCTCGTGATGTCCGAGCCTCACAGCAGCTCTGACTTCAAGGTCGCGGATGCCGTCGATGAATGTCTGCACCAGGTTCCCTACAATGAGCGCAGGTACAGACTGGTATGCTTTTCGAACTAGCTTCTACACCTCAATGGCCCACTGCTGCAGGTTTTCGTTATTGCGTTGCACGCGATCTTTGAGTTGTGCACGAAAGACGTGTTTCAGGTGAGCTTCGCCATATCTCGCCTTCAGGAGTTGCTCGTTAGTCACTTCCTTACCGAGAGCTTCCAGAACAGTTAAGGCCTGGTCGCGCAAGCCTAGGGTGAGAGCAGTCATGGCCTGACTTTCATTCCAGCCGTTCGCCTTCATGGCAGCTTCGAGTTGGATTTTGTAGGCCGACCAGGAAGAAGTCCCGTCGAACGGCGGCACTTTGAATCCACGTAGCGAAGGTGTTGTAGCTACCACAGGAGCTGTAACTCCATCCCCAAGTTTGAGGTCGTCCAGCGTTTTCTTCACGTCAGCCATTATGTTGTCAACTGATTGTACACTTGGTCCATTCGGGTTTCAGCATCCGACAGGCGGTTATCATATTGAGCAACCTTATCCTTCACCTCCCTTATCTCTTTCCCGAAGGTAGCGTGAATGTCCTTCATGTGAAGTATCTGCTCTTCCTTATCGCGTTTGAGCTGCTCTTCCAACCGATGGCCCTGTTCCTCCTGTTGGCGGGCCTGTTCCTCCTGTCCGCACTGGAGCTGCTCTTCCAACCAAAGGGCCTGTTCCTCCTGTCCACGCTGCAGCTGCTCTTCCAACTGACGGGCCTGTTCCTCCCGTCGGCGGGCTTGTTCCTCCTGTCGGCGAGCCTATTCCTGCAGCATCATCATCAGAGCACCTAAGTCAGTTGCCGCAGATGCAGGAGCTGCTGACGGGCCGACCTCCGTGGTCAGCAGCTGGCCCTCTGACGTTTGCGGCTTTGCATTACCAAATCGTCTCTGGTCCGTCTCCATCTGGCGTTGCCTTCAGGTACGGATACCCTCCATGTCGTCCTTTGGTAAAATCGACATGATTTGATCCCACTTCTGACACCAATTGCTACGAGAGAATTTTTTCTTCCTCGTCGGTTGCCGGTTCTTCAATCTATAAGGTCGGTCCATTGACACTTCAGTTTACTGATCCGTTGGGCTATGTCAGTTACTCTTGTTCTTCTTCGGAAGTTTTATATTATCTTTTATATATGATTTGTAAATGTAGACGAAAATGTTATACACGCAATAAACGTTAAAAAACTCATATGAAAGAATAACCAATATATTACTATTACGAGCTTGGGGTTCAAGACTGTTAAAAACTGCCGATTGGATTACCAAAATTGACACTTTAATTACGGAACACTAATTACAACTTAAAACACACTAATAAAAAAACACAATTGTACTACTGATCACTTTAGTTCGCAGTTATATCACTTCGAAGTTTCGCTTATATCGCCAATTCAATACTGACCAGAACCTTCTACTGTAGCGACATCTAGAATGTTCGAGTACATATCGGTCCTGAAATTTCTAGAAGGATCTTGACCCTCCTAGTTCTGCTACTCGACACAAGAGGGCGCTAGTGGTAACTAGTGTTGCCATGTACAAGACATTAATATTGGCGCGCAACATTATCAATAATCTAGGTTAAGATTAAGGAACGAATACCACAGAAATGAAAAACGAACTTAAAGCCCACTTGGTGTTAGGTAGCTACTGCGGTTGATCGACACCTGTACTCAAACAAAGATGGCTATAGATACGCTATCAATTTAGAGAACTAAGATGGAATGTCTCACAGCACGTAATTATACTGGCTCTCTATGCACTTCAGACTGGAACACAGAAGTACAAACATTGGAAAGGAAGAAATTGAACAGAGTATGGTATTCACCCAGACGGACTACTAGGTAGAAAAGAATGCCATCACCTCGATTATTTAGAAGGTTTTTTTTGTTAGTAAAATTATAATCCAAAGATTTATAAATGATTTCGATGAAATTCATGCCAAGGGGATAACCGTACACAATTTTGTAATACGATTTACAATCTCTTTATTTCAGTTGAATTAGACTGACCGTGGCCCGGGCGGGCTTTGAATAATGAAACGTTATCTTTTTCCTTGAAATAATTTGTTTGTTTTCAATAAGTTGCTACAGGGCTACAGACAACATAACTCTTAAGGAATTTTTTTACTTTGTTTACGTTATTACCTTAAACTACCATAATTCCGATTT